GCCAAAAATCAAAAGGAATTGACTTAACCCAGGGGTCTTCCAACGTGGCCCTTTTAGGACTTGTGGACTTCGACTCCCAGAATTCCTCAGCCAGCGTGCACACGCTGGCTGAGGAATTCTGGGAGTTGAAGTCCACAAGTCCTAAAAGGGCCACGTTGGAAGACCCCTGATCTTGCTTATCTTCTCAGAGCTGTTTTTTTCCAGATTAAACCTGCCCAGGGCCTCTATCTGTTCTCCCAGGCCAAGTGTCCTTGCCAAAATGTAGTGCCCAGATTGGGGGGTTACCATCTTGGTGGTGATCTGAGTTAATCGCTTTCTGCTCAACCGCATTATTCATGTTTGCACTTCACAGATGGTGCCCCTTTTCCCCCAGGATCGAGGCTGCGCGTGATGAGCGACCAAAGTGTGAATGGTTGTGATTGTAGCTGCGAGGAGCTGATGCATCTTGATCCTGGGCAAAGCCTTCTGCCTTTCGGGGCTCCCCCTGGCCTGTTCCCCAGTGGGCTAATGAAGACCTCCCTCCCTCGCCCAGTTTATGCCATCATCAGGTTCCCCCTGACCACGGAGTCAGCCATGAAGAACATTCTCCTAGGCTAGCTGGGGGGATTCTGGGAGTTCAAATCCACACATCTTAAAAGATGCTGAAGTTGAATGTACTCTGACCACATTCTCTCACAGATAGGGTTACATCCTAAAGCTCACTTTAATTTGTGCCCCTCGAGTTTCTTGTAACGCATCTTTCGCTAAGCTGGCCCTAAAGTGCTTCTCCCCCCCCCAAAAAAAGGCAACTGGACTTTCTTGGCTTTTATAATAATAATAATAATAATAATAATAATAATAATAATAATAATAATAAAGTTGGAAGGGACCTTAGAGGTCATCTAGTCCAACCCCCTGCTCAGGCAGGAAATCCTATACCATTTCAGACAAACGGTTGTCCAGTCTCTTCTTAAAACCTTTCAGTGTTGGAGCATTCACCGCTTCTGGAGGCAGGTGGTTCCACTGGTTAATTGTTCTGACTGTCAGGAAGTTTCTCCTTAGTTCCAGGTTGCTTCTCTCCTTGTTCAGTTTCCATCCGTTGCTTCTTGTCCGGCCTTCTGGTGCTTTGGAGAATAGCTTGACTCCCTCTTCTTTGGGGCAGCCCCTGAGATACTGGAACACTGCTATCCTTGTCCTTCTCTTCGTTAAACTAGACATGCCCAATTCCAACAGCCTTTCCTTGTATGTTTTAGCCTCCACTCCCCTGATCATCTTTGTTGCTCTTCTCTGTACTCTTTCTAGAGTCTGAATATCTTTTTTACATCGTGGTGACCAAAACTGGATGCAGTATTCCAAGAATTTTCTTAGAAATTTTCTTTGAAAACATTTCATTTACCTTGGTTAGAATTGAAGAAGCTTCCTGGATGAGAAGCAAAACGTTTTCAAAGAAAAAAACAACACGGTCCAGTTGCCTTTTGGGGAACAGGCACCTTTGGGGAAAAAACCATGAGCTGAATGATGGGAGAATCTCCATGGACATTTGGCTAGGCTGCCACCCATTGATGGGTTCATCTAGGTTCATCAGCAATCGTGATTCTTGGCGAGGGGTGGGGGGATTGCAAATCTGTTATTTCTTTTGTCAGGATCAGATCCTTAGGTGCTTGTGGAGGGAGCAGAGACATGGCCCAGCTATAAACTGGATTCTAAACCTGCTCCCTGTTTCTTCCTCCCGCAGCTGTCCCAGCCAAGACGGAGGCAAAGTCCAAAGCACTTAAAGCGAAGAAAGCCGTGTTGAAAGGGGTCCACAGTCACAAGAAGAAAAAAATCAGGACATCGCCCACCTTCCGGAGACCAAAGACTTTGCGGTTACGGCGACAGCCCAAGTATCCCCGGAAGAGCGCCCCACGGAGGAACAAGTAGGTCGGCCCTGTCTCCCTCCCCCCCCCAGAAAGTCAAAGGGCTTCCACTTGACCCTAAGCCGGGGTCTTCAAACTTGGCCCTTTGATGACTTGTGGACTTCAACTCGCAGAATTCCTCAGCCAGGAGGCTTTAAGACAGGGGTCTTCCAACCTGGCCCTTTGATGACTTGTGGACCTCAACTCTGCTGAGGAATTCTGGGAGTTGAAGTCCACAAGCAGGGGTCTTCCAACTTGGCCCTTTGATGACTTGTGGACCTCAACTCCCAGAATTCCTCAGCCAGGCATGCTGGCTGATGAATTCTGGGAGTTGAAGTCCACAAGAAGGGGTCTTCCAACTTGGCCCTTTGATGACTTGTGGACCTCAACTCCCAGAATTCCTCAGCCAGGCATGTTGGCTGAGGAATTCTGGGAGTTGAAGTCCACAAGAAGGGGTCTTCCAACTTGGCCCTTTGATGACTTGTGGACCTCAACTCCCAGAATTCCTCAGCCAGGCATGCTGGCTGAGGAATTCTGGGAGTCGAAGTCACAACCAGGGGTCTTCCAAATTGGCCCTTTGACGACTTGTGGACCTCAACTCCCAGAATTCCTCAGCCAGGATGCTTTAAAATAAGGGTCCTCAAACATGGCCCTTTGATGACTTGTGGACCTCAACTCCCAGAATTCCTCAGCCAGGCACGCTGGCTGAGGAATTCTGGGAGTTGGTGCAGAAGCTGGGTCTTCCAACTTGGCCCTTTGATGACTTGTGGACTTCAACTAGATGACCTCCAAGGTCCCTTCCAACTTTATTGTTATTATTAACTCCCAGAATTCCTCAGCCAGGCACGCTGGCTGAGGAATTCTGGGAGTTGAAGTCCACAAGTCATCAAAGGGCCCAGTTGGAAGACCCCTGCCCATAGCCATTAGAACAGGCCTGCCCAACCTGCAACCCACAAGATCGTACACTTTTAACATGACAGGATTTTTAGCAATAGTGACTCTATTATGTATTTAGTATGTGGCCCAAGACGATTCCTCTTCACCCGTTGCGCTCCAGGCAAGCCAAAACGTGGGCGAGGCCTGCCTTCGAAGCTGGCTCTTCCCCCAGGGATTGTGTGTTTGAATGGGTGTGTGATGGAACCCTTGTGGGGTGGTTCAGTTTATTAGGCTGTGTTTTCCAGACGCCCATTTTTGGATTGCATCGCTAAAGGGGTCACCAGCCGGAAAAAGGAAGTCCTGATCCCGCTGTATAGGGCTTTAGTGAGACCCCGTTGAGAATAGTGTGTTCAGTTTTGGAAACCGCACTTTAAAAAATGATTACTGGATGTCCAGTTCAGCTATCAGATGATGGCCCCTGGTGTTAACTCCGGGAAGATCTAGGGCAGGGGTCCACAACCTTGGCCACTTTAAGACTGATGGACTTCAACTCCCAGAATTCCTCAGCCAGCTTTGCTGGCTGAGGAATTCTGGGAGTTGAAGTCTACCAGTCTTAAAGTGGTCAAGGTTGAGGACCCCTCTTCTAGGGAACCAGAGAATGCACGTCGTGGGCAGTCTTGCCCAGTATATTCAATAGTTTACATATTAACACCACAATCACAACAAGGGGAATCTCCATCCCCACTGATAGAGGGCAGAGCTACTTCTTCCATTGCCACACCTACATTCTGGACCATTCCATCCATACAGAGCGAGGCAGGTTAAAACCAAGTGGTTTGGAAGAGGGATCCCTCGGCAGAGGGATCTATCTATCACTTTGGTAGAGGGATCACCAAGAGCCGTGGAGGCACTGAACGCAGCATTGCAGCAGACTCTGCCCAAAATCTGGTGTTCGATGCTGACCGGCTCAAGGTTGACTCAGCCTTCTGTCCTTCCGAGGTCGGTAAAATGAGGACCCAGATTGTTGGGGGCAAGAGGTTGACTCTATAAACCGCTTAGAGGGGGCAGTATAAAGCAATGTGAAGTGGTATATAAGTCTGAATGCTCTTGCTCTTGCTATTCCACTCTACAGACAGTCTAGTAGCTGTTTTCCATACTGGCCGACAGGACTGTGAAAATGTGCTTTTCACCGAGTCTCCATTTTACATCTTCAGACATTGCTATCAAGTTCCACATTGTTTTGGCCTGGAGACTGTGGGGCTTCTTGAGCTAGTACAACAGCTAGGAAGATATTAGGGACTGTCAGTTAGCACAGGTCTTTTCGACCAGTGGTACGGGTACCACCTGTGGTCCATTGGGGCACCTGGCAGGTGGAACGCGACCATCCTAGAAAAGGGGTAGCGGGGGAGGGGAATGAGCTGAACCGGTGGCAGCACCGCACAAGCCTGAGCGAGAGAGGCTGGAGCTGCAGGGCTGTCAGGGCTCAGCGGAAGCACCAGGATCAGCGCTTCTTCGGGGCTGTCGGGGCTCAGCGGAAGCCGCAGGATCAGTGCCAGGATCCAGCTGGAAAGCAGCACTGATCCTGGTGCTTCTGCTGAGCCCAGAAGAAGCGCCGATCAGCTGGAATGTTGCAGCCTCTCCAGGGTCTTGTGATTTACATTCAGATGCTTGGCAACCGATTCATATTTATGACGGTCACAGTGTCCCAGGGTCATGTGAAGGGACCCAAACCTGCTGCAACCACCCAGCAGACGGGGGGGGGGGGATAAAACCCAAACACCCCCCCCACCTCACCCCCGCTGCCAATCCTCAACAGAAATACAACAATGAACACCTCGGACAGGAGGAAGAGCGCCACCGGATGGGCAGGCAGGTGTCTTGCTTGGCTGTGCCTTGGGGGGCACTTTTTTCAGTGTCATTGTAACTTC